AAGTAGCAGTGCACATGTGCTACAAAAGCAGCAATGAGTCCAGAAATCTTTCTTTTGATGTAGTCAGTGCATACAGATCCTTCCTTGCAGGACCAGAGATAGATTTGTATTTCAGAGCATGTATTTTCCTTGTATCCACCAGTAAATAAAGTTGTAGATGCAACACTGTTTATATGAGTTTGTAGCAAATTCTAGCCCACAAGATGGGAATAGAATATTTTGGGCCTTCTTATAAAATGGGCCAAAAGAGATACAAAAGACGATGTAGGAATAAAGAGAGCTATGGTGACTAATTTGATTAATACTCCAGAGCGAAGAGAAAGACAGAAAGAGAGAGAAACATTACTAATAATTAAAATTTTGAGTATACCTTGTATTTTTAGAAAAGTGGAGGATCTGCTGATATTTCTAAGAACTATTATGAAATCTCAAGGCAGAAGATGCTCCAAAGTGCAAGAACAGAAGGAAAGAATGAAGGTGTTACAATCAGCTTTCTTCATTTCTGAACTTCTGAATGCAGCAACCAGGCAACCGTAGCATTTCCTTAATACATTTTTTCATCAGAGATGCACAATATATGCACCGATATCGGGTCACAACAGGGGTTTCTGACACCAAGCGTTAGCATATAGTAGCTTTCCAGTTCATTTTTCCCCCTTAATAGAGAGTCCTAGCTAGCTATGATTAGTATCATTTCCACTGTGACCTTCTTTTTTTTCTTTTTTGCAGTATGATTGCTTCACTGGGAACTTGCCACGTTATTTTGATGAAAAAAAGAAATGCTTTATTACACAGGAGAGATAGGTCATTTGAAAAGATAATATAAGCATCATTTTCTTCAGGCTAAAGAAAAGGGAGAAAAATGTCCCTGCTTTATCCAAAGTGCCCATATGCTTTTTCCACAAAGCTTATGTGCTTGTTTCTGTGTTGCAAAACTGTAACTGTTTTGTGGGGTTTTTTATTCATTATTATTTGAAAGAGATACTGTACAGAATTGGTTTTCTTTTTTACTTTTTCCTTTTTGATAGACAGGTTGTTGTTCTTGACTTCCCTGATGAGCTGTTTCCAATTCATACACTGCCATCACAAAATTAGTTAGAGGAATATTCAGATCAGGTACAGGTTTTTGCCAAATCTGTTTCTAAACATCACTATTCATGACTGTCAAAAAAGAACAACATACCCACACCAAACTCACAAAGTATTAATGGGTATACAGAACTGCTTTAGAGCAGATTAGAGGAGCACTGAAGTAAGCCAAGAAAATCAACTTCACTGGTAACAATCTGCACCAGCAGAGGTGAGCCACTGTCACCACTGCTAAAATGCAACACCAATCACTTCACTGTGCTCATATCCACATGAATGGATCCACATGAATGGTCAGTGTTGATGAATGTCAATGGAATGTCAATGCCATTTTTTTCCCACATGGAGGAATTCAGTTCCACACTTTCATTTCATATGTATTTCCACATCAGATACCACTGTGTCAGACTGTCCCTCTGCTGCTGCTGTCTGCTACATGTCAATAACATGCAGGATAACAGGATCTACTGCTACCACATCACCTCCAATAGTGTGGGCCAATATAATAAAATGGGATGCTCTGAAAGTAATCCCTCCTTAGTGTATATGTATATACATATATATTTTTTTGACAATTAAAATATGAAGAAGTTACTTCTGATACCTGAGACTGGTAAGAAAAAATCTCAAATCAACATGAGGCAATCAGCATCACTTTGTGGACAGCTTTACATTTCAAAGCATTTATTTGGAGTTGTTTGCCTTTGAATGAGAGAGCCCAGAAGTATTTAAGGGCTGAAGACTTGGCCAGGGAGCAAATGAAACCAGCTTGAAGAAGTCTGAGAGATGATACTGCTATATCTTGTCAAGGTCAGATTCAAGCTGGCATCTCCCTTCTTAAATCTGCTGATTTAGATGTGCAAGGCCTGGAAGATAAGAACAAAGGAGTGCCTGCTGAGATCCCTGGAACCAGAAGCTGTTAAGACTTTCAAAATGACCCAGTACAGCCACCACCTACCACCAATATTTCCATAAAGAAACATGTCCTTTAGTACAACACCTCCAAATTTCTCCAAGGATGAAGACCCAACTATCTCCCTGGACAGTTTATTCCAGAGTCTGATCACTCTTTCAGGGAAGTTTCTCCTAATACTCAATCAAAGGGAACAATCCCTTTCAGTTCCACTCCTGGGTACTGGTGATACCATCAAATTACACTGTCTGTGTGCCTGTACCTCATATCAGTAAAACAACCCAAGTGACTTCTAGCTTGGCAAGGCATAGCTGGATTACATCATTGTTGCTTAATTGCAAAGCACTACACTAACAGATGCTTAAATGATATTCAAGCAGCTGCCTAACTTTATCAAAATTCAATTTTTATTTGAAGAGTTTTAAATCTTTACCCTGATTCCCCCTTCTTTTTGTTTCAAGGATTGTAGATTAACTTGTCATTTTTATTTTATTCTCCATTGTGCCTGGACCATTCTCTCTTCTGTAACTACAGCAAATTTTGTTTCTTCAGCTAATCTTTCATAATACATTTTTTTTTACCTAATAAGACAGAAAATCAAAAGTTCCACTTCCTGACCACACTGCAACTTCAATGCAAAGCAGGAAGGAGAATGCACCCTCAGCTGAGTATCTATGTATTTATCTCAGCAGAGGGCAGCAGCCGAGCAGCAGTAGTCCAGACTTAAAGATGAATTAATTTTTCATACTCCACAGTGAAGCTACTAATTACTATCTGAACTAGGTGGCATGATATCCCTTACACTTTGTTCACTTCACATGTAATCAGTGTTGAGCTTCTGGCACTGTGTGGTCTGGGGATCCTAATGGTGGAAGAGCAGTCCACACCAACCCACAGCTCACTACTGGTAGCCTTTTGCTGTGGGTGCCCTTACCAAGATGGTGTAAGCTGACAAGGAAACTCCACTGAAAACGTGTCACTTCTTTCTTTCTCCACAGCATCCTCTGCAGCATTCACACCAGCTCTCTGACATGAACTTTGGTACTCAGTGCCCTTGAAAGGATAACATGCAGCTGAATGATGGAGAGCTGCAAGACTTTCCTCTTTCATTTTTTAAAGAAAGGAAAACAATTCCCTTTATACTCCTACATAGGACTGAGAGGTTGCTCTAAAGAAGGGCAGAAGTCTTTATTGTTCAAAAAAAGTGTCTAACGCAAGTCGGGAAAGCTTACTTTTAAAAAGCAGAACTCTGAGCAGCTCAATCAAGCAGAACAGATTCAAACCGCTGGTCTATAAACAGCTGTCCTGAACATGCCAGGCAACATTTTTCTCCAAGCCTTTCTCTGGACAGCCCAGTGGTTTGCAACCTGCTGGAGCAAGCACTATGCCTTCCAAGTGAGTGCTGAGCTGAGGGCTTTCTCTTCCTTCATCCTCCCAGCCCAGACTGGTTGCTGTTCTCCCCACAGCATAATCAGACAGCTTCTACCTCCCACCTAGAAATCCACCTGCCCCACCCCTGGTGGCAACAGGATGACACTCACTTCTACAGAAGGAACCTACCCGAGCCAAGCTTTTGCAGACTGCAGAGAATAAGCAAATAGAAGAAAAAAAACCAAACTTCATTGCAGAGGTGTCCACATCATTGAACAGCAGTGCGTTGCCCCAGCAGAGCATGGAGGAAGGCACAAATACTCTGGATTAGGCTCTGAGCTAGGCTCTGGAGGGGGAAATAATTTCAGTGACAGTCAGAAATTTGAAGAATTTTGCCCTGGAGCTTCAAGTATGCGGCTGTTAAAAGGAGTTTTACTTTCACTCTAAAATAGAGCAGTAGTAGCACTACTTTCTGCTTAGAGAAACATAAGTTGAATGAAATCTCTGAAAACTATCATTAAAATATGACACATTCCAATGTGCTAGGAACAAACAAGTGAATAGTTTGGGTAGATTAAAGCATGTAAGCAGTGACAGATGCATTCATTTCTCTTAGAAGAGTTAATAACTATGACTTTGATAACAAAGGAAAAAGTCACATCAGGACTAATTCTGAACACTTTTGCAAAGTAAAGCTGAAATTGAAGCTTAATCCAGATGTCTGAGGAGAAAAAAAGCACCAAGAAACAGATTAACGTGTTCAGTAATCTGTTTACAGTCCATTCCTGAAACACCATGCCCTGTGGGAAGGAGCCACGCAGGAGCAGAGAAGCAGCAAGGAGGAAGCAGCAAAGACAAACTGTTACAGAGAGACTGCAGCCACCCCACAGCTACCTGTGCTGCTCAGGAGAGCAGAAGGATCAGGAATGAATCTTCTTCTCTGTGAAGAAAGAATGTGAAGGAAAGTGGGTTTAGGTTTTTTTGTTTCTCACCATCCTACTCTATATTGAACTGAAAGTAAGCGTGCTAAGCCTAGACTGGCCATAAGAGTAACCACAAGTGATCTTCCTGTCTCTATCTCAACATAGAAGCTTTTCCATCCTATCTTCTCCCTCTGTTCTGTCAAGGGCAGGATATGAGAGTAGTTGTAAGGCATCTGGAAGCCAGGCACAACCATACCCACCATACAGGAAGGCAGCATCCAGGATTGCCACAGAGAACACATCTGTGGCCAGGAGTGGTGAGTCTGGGCACATACCTTGTACAGCATATAGTATGACATCCACAGGGGTGAACTGGGAAGGGGCTGAAAGCAGTGAGCAGTGAGCTTGGGAGGAACTGCTGAAGACTGATCTGCATTCAGGGTACAGGGGAAACAAGCTCCACTTCAAAAACGCAGATAAAAAAAACTTCACAGATCTCAAGCAACATGATCAAAGTTATTCCCACTTTCAGAGAGAACTGGGACCTGAAAGCCATCTAGCCTGGAGCAACCTTGACAGCACCAACATATGTAGTGTTGTATGACACCCAAAAGTGAAAAAGAGATGTATTGTTTTGACATAGTATACAGACCATGGGTTTGCTTTTTTAGACCAAAAATTCTTCTTGCTTTATTAATATTTCAATTTAATTTATTTATTCCTTCCAGAAGGAAGGTCTATTTAATATCTACATAGAAACTGCTTACTGCTTTTCAGAGGAGATCAACTTACACCACACACATGAATCTGGAAGTAAAAATTAATCATACTAAGTCATAAGAACTACACTTCTTTCCAGTGATGTTCCTGGTGTTTCTTCTTAACACTTTTTCTTTAAAGCACACTTCATTGTCTCAGTCCCTTCATAGACTCCCTCCACACTTGGACTTCCCACACTTTTATTCTTTTCCTCATGTTTTGTCTCACTACTTTCTTGGTTGTCTGAAAGGCTGCCTTTATTTTTGTAGCAATCACTAAATGTTGGGGGGCTATGTTTTTTCTCCATACTGGTGCTCCCCTTCTCTGTGCTCTCCAAGTGTCGAGTTTTGCGCTTTCTCTTTCCACCAGGCTTTTCACTTCTTGTTCTGTCTGCCTCAGAAGGGCTCCTTGATCTGGAGCTTGATCTACTCCTTGATATGCACTGTTTGTAACAGGAGTCCTGTCTCTCATGGAATTCCATCTGGCTTTGCAGATCTGTCATTTTAGTGAAAGACTGGATCCTGAATTCTGGACCAGGAGACTTAGTTGAACAGTGAGCTTTAGGCTGAGTGCTCGTACTGCAGGAGGAGCCATCTCCAAATGTCTTTGGACTGTGTAACAGGTAACTGCTATGGTAACAGGCTCTTCTATAACAACAATCACTGTCTAGGCTGCTTGACTTCCTTTGGCCATGGCCTTTGTGATGTGACCATGATCTGCTTGAATCTCTGGAGCTAGTGCTCTCACAGCTACTGGACTCTGTCTGGCTTTTTAGGGAGGGGCTCATGTCATGGGGCCTTGACCTCCTCCTTCTTTTGCTCCAATATTTGCTACTATCTTTGTTTTTCGATAGCCTCTTTTTAAACTGGTATTTAACAAAGTAATGCTTCCTCCAAGGCCAATGGCCATGACTGACCTCACTGTTCTGTGGACTTCTGGTCTTTCTCTTTCTGGACAGCCTCTGGCTACGAAGAGAGCATGCATTTTCCATCACTGGAGACAGGCTCCAGTCTGAGTCGTGTGGAGAGTGATCTTTGTTCTTCTGTTCATCCTTTGACACTATCCTCTTGACTACAGAGAGAAAGGAGCTTTGACAACTACTCACACACTCCTTGTACAGGGGAGAGAAGGGTGTTGAAACTCTGCATGGTTCTCTGTCACTCCAGCTCCTATCCTGGATTGACTGCTCTTTTTTCATATCTTCTCTTTTCCTCTCCCTGACGGAGTCCCCAGAGTCTGAGGACAGCTCAGTCGGTTCTGGTGTCCTCTCAGCATAGAGATTAACGTAGCCAGCAATATCATGATACTCTGATGAGGAGTCACTGTCACTGAAGTCAACAGCAGCGTGTAACTGAGGCTGCAGTGTGGTTCTCTCCCAGGCAGAGTCTTCATCAGAGCTCTCTAATAACTCTGACGAAGAAATTATGGTTGCAACATACTCTTCTGAAGGGGAATACGAAGGACCTGGAGTTTCATCATTCCAAGACAATGAATCAACACTATGCTCAGATGAACCATACTCTACCTCTTGAGAATTCATCTCATCTGAAAAGACTGAGAGAGTTGTTGAGTCTGAGCTACTTCCTTCATTGTGCGATGGTCTAGGATAGTGATAAGTGGCATGCTGATCCCATACCTCTAAGTCAAAAGTGCTTTCAGCAAAATTGATGATGCTGCAATCAGAGTAGGAAGAAGATTCATTTTCTGATGACCTAGATGCGTCATCTTCGGCATGAACTATATGACAAAGAGAAAAGTAGGGCTGTTGGCACAATGGGCATTCTGCTTTGAGTTTGGACCATTCTTGGATACAACGGAAGCAGAACTTGTGCCAGCAAGGATCTAGATACACAGTACTGTCAAATCTGTCCAAGCACATGGGGCACTTAGAGTCAGGAGAGGTGTCCACTGGCATGGTCTGCATCTTGCTAGGATAAGCTTTGTGCTAACAGCTGCTGTCCTCTGCAAACAGGCTGTGGAAGCTGTGTTCTGCAAAAGAAAGAGACAAAAACTATGTGCAAATGTGGGACGAAAGTTGTTTAACTTACAAAAAACTCAGTCTAGTTGGTTTCCCCCTCAACCAATACAAAAACGCTATGAAAGTCAATCCAAAATTAAACTCTAAGATGACAGCTTGGACCCAAACAACTTTAAATAAAATAATCTGAGCCAGAGAGGCAGCTTGGTCTAAATTCAGTTCAGCAGGTACATTCAGGCCTTTTAGCAAGATGCAGTTATGATCAAATTTGTTACAATGAGACTGACAATTTCTGTAGGGATCTGCAAAACAATTCTCAAAATTATGCCACAAAAAGCAAAAATTGCACTGTTTGTTTGTTTGGTTTTTTAATTCCCATGTGTTTTGTCTTTTTTAAACAACAAAATGGTACCGTGGTAGTGGCACACATGCCCTTAAAGCCCTTAAACTTTTAAGACCCAAACTGTTAGGGCAATCAAGTGTAGTGATAGTAAATTAACATATAACTAATATATATATATATATATATATATTGTCACGGACATTCTACTCTCATATTCTTTAAGATGATAGGGACTATCATGAGGAAAAAGATCAAAAGTAAATCTGTTCATCTCCAAATTAGATAATACAAATACTTGAATTCGTAGTCTGTATTTGCTAAAGAAAAGCAGAAGTGTGGCTATTCCCAGGATGTTACAACTGTCAATATTACATTTAATCTGACAACTACAACAAAAACACTTCAGCACCCTGCTGAGTTTGTGCCTGGTTTTGGAAGAATTTCTGTCAACACTTTGGACAAAACTTCATTAAAAAATTGTTTCTATAGGACTGTTTTCTTCAAAAGTTCATCCTTTAATATAGGATGTGGAAAGACTTGTCACAAGTCTTTGCTATTGAATAATGCCCTGCAGCCTAGACTCAGAAAATTAAAGATAGATACAAAGAATATTGAGAAACCAAAAAAGTATAATTTAATCCCAACAACAGGTAGAAGTGTTTTCTGATTAATGTTAGAGTTTCAAAAATCAGTAGGGAAGAAAACGAAACCAATGCTTACACATAGGTGAAGGTACATTAGCATTTTGAGACATGAAACATTTCTTAGTGCAAAAAGAGCCTCTAAGGCTCTGCTTTGTCCTATGGGACTATTATGTTAACTGAACTCACTGTGCAAGACTTCTGTTCCAGGATCTCCAAGTCCAATATACTAGTTACATCTTCCCATGAAAACATTTCAGTTTTATTACAGAATTCTAGACATGCAGCTTTGGGAGAAACTTTGCAATAGAGTTACAGTGAGACTTTTCTTCATTTCACCTGTATTAATACTCTGTAGTCATGCATATACTTTATGCGCATGCATGCTCATACTATTTCCCCAAATTACTACAAGTTTTTCTACTGAAATTTGGATAACTGGGCAAAAATGCTTGAATGCAGATGTTCAGCATTCTCTGAACATGTTCTGGTTGTGTCAAATTAAGCACTGAAATACTTATAGAACTTTAAATTTACTTTTTCCTTATGAAAGCAGAAAGCAATTCATCCTGCCTTTCAACCACCTGATTAAAATGCAGAGTAGAATGACATTTGTTGTCTGAAGAAGCCAATACAGTAAGAACAATCTTTTCTGCACTGATAGCCCTTTACATATTGGGCAATAATTTTTTGCACAGTCAGTAGGAAACATAAGTTTTTAGATATCTCTCTGACTTGTAAGTAACAGCAAGGCTTTTCTTTCAGTTACTACTGGGCAGGGATCAAACTTGAGGTTTAGTAATATGGTATCTTTCTTCAAAAAGAAGAGCAGACCAGTGAGACCCATGAGCAGCAGCAGCTTCAAAAGAGGATAAGTTTCTAATGGGAGATGGCTACTTTATCATCTGTATTTTGTTGTACATTTTAGTTTATTACTTTTAAAAAGTTATTTGGTTCTTGAGTTATTTGGTTATACAGCTACCAGCTGCACAAGGTTTCACCATTCAAAAGGCATAAAAAAAGGTTTTGTTAACATCTCTTGGTAGAGGAAACAAATGTTAATATGTTTTATGAGGAAGATATTTCTTATCTAAGCAAGGCAAGGCTGAAAGTGAAGTGAGCACCTTTCCATAACATTTTGTTAGCAGTTCTTGTAGGATGATTGTACACTAATATTTTCTCCCTGGCTTCCATTTTCCCCACTGCTCTATGGATTCTATTCATTCTATATCTACCCTGGCTATGTATTCTCATGGTATTATACTCATCTTTCCACTATCTTTTTCTTTTCAGTTCTTGCTCTCCAAGGTATGAGCGTCTCAGTAATAAACTTGATTGGTACAGTGCTATCTGCACTGTAATATGGGAAAACATATTTAAGATAACTAGTGAATTCTTACCAACTTGCATAAAGCCCCCAAACAAGTAGAATTATCTGTAAAACTGTACCAATATAAGAAAACCTCAGAAAATGTTTTCCTGTAGTTTTAATACCTGAAAGTCTTGCACACTAAGTGAACTTCCACTATCTGTGATTTTCTCTGAATTTGTGTTTGGCACAAACTAACATTAAGCTACCACTTCTAGCTCTTTGATAACTCTTCCTAGTCTGATATCCTTAACTAGAAAATGAGCTACAAAATGCATTTTTATTTTTTGTTTCATCTTAACATTCTCAAGTTGTGCTGGTTTTCTTTTAAATATCTTACCTGAAGATAGCTAACTCAAATCAAGGACTTTCCACTTTTAGAAGCACAGATTTGGTTGTAACTCTATAGTAGAGAAGGCAGTGTCAACATAACAAAACCTGAGCCATTCTAGGGGTTCAAAATAACTTGTTTTCTACCTGTGTAAGGTTATGGGCTTCTTTGAAATTTGCAAAGGCCTGAGAGAAAGTATCACCCAGTTGGTAGCTAAGTAGCATAGGCCTAACAGGAAAGCTTTCTGTCATTGAGCGGAGTAGTGAAGAACATTTCTAAACTTGAATTCTGAGGAGTTTATACCAGATGGGCATCAGGATCTAAGGCAAAGAATGTGAGAACTGTGGCTGAGTTACTCCTTACCTTAATTCTCTTCAGATTGTTCATGAAATAATTTGCTCATGCAGATCAAGCATGTTAGTAGAATGGTTTACGTTTTTCACTCAACTGATTTCAAGACCTCCAAGTTTTACTTGATGTATAACCCCTTACTATTCTGAATACAATACCCAAGAATTTAGCAAGCATTATCCCACTAAGTAATCTAACCTTGAAATATCAGAGCAATGGCTACAAATAAACTTCTAAAAGTTTGGAGCGACTTATACATAGAGGCAAATTTGCTTTATCAGTTCTTACCCACTGTTAATAATTTTAAAGTCACTATATCAGCCTCACACATATTGCCCCCCTTTATCATATAAATAGGGGACAAATTTCTTCCTGTCAGATTTAATCAAAGAATCTAAAAGAAAGCAAAGAACCTTATTCACTTACAGAGAGACAAAAAGAAGAAAAAACCAATACTTTCTTATGCATGCAAGGAATAATTGGGATATTTCAATGCTGTATGTCAGTGTTTAAACTGCTTTCAGACAGATCATTTAGATACATGGAGAGATCTGTTGAAGAATAAATTTGAGTAACAAGCCAATAAGAATGGATACAGTATGATTAGCAATTTATACCAAAACAGATCATTTTCTGATATGAAATCAAACAAGAGAAATACAAACACTATAATCACTAAAGAGACATTAGACTATATGTAAAAACCTCAAGATTACTGGAAGAGGAAAAGCATAGGGAGATGATATTTCAGCAAGATATTACATAGTGATTGCCAATAGATCTCTCCGAAGTTTCCAGAAGACAAGGAGGGAGAAGAATATTTAATTTTAACATCTTCAAAGCTTGACTTTTCCTGTAATATTTATAAAATATTGAAAGGGGGGAGGTGGGGGGGAAGTGATATGGATATGAGTTCTGTGGCTGGTTTTAGTTGCCCTTGAAAGCAACTGCCATAAATCTTGGATGAAGTCAAATAAGACTGATGATTTTGATCTTCAGTTCATTCTTTCCTATCCTTCAAAAGGTAAATGATCCTGATGGAACTGGAGATAAGCAGGATGGCTTTCTTTTGCAATCTGCATATCCAATGATCAACACATCTACTTTAGCAAAGTCAGGCAATTTTCCCCCTCTAATTTTGGAGAAAGTTTTTTAGTCTGTGTGCACACATGTGCATATGCACATCTGTCTACTCTTGTGTGTGAACAGCTGAAAACTAGGGTCTAATAGAAGGGAAAAAGTAAGAGAAAAACCTTTTGGTACATTTACTCCTTTCCTGTGTCTTCCAGTCACACTGGAAGATAACCACTGAAATGAACCAATGATGAAAAATAAAAAGGCATTAAAACAACAGAATTTAGGCAAAATAAATTCAAGCTTCACACTTATTCATAATATTCTTCATTGGTCTCCCACATAGTTTTCAAATTCCAGGGATAGAAAATAAGTTATTTCTTCTCTGTGAAGATTGTCTCAAGCAGTGGGCCCAGGAGAAACTATTAAGGTTCAGCAAATCCAAGTACAAGGTCCCACTTATGGGAATGCCTGCTATCAGTACAAGCTGAAGGATGAAAGGATAGAGCCCTGACAAAAGTCTTGGAGATACTAGAAGATGATAAACTGGACATGGCAGCGGTGTGCCCTTGCAGAAAGAATGCCAACTGTATCTTGGACTGCATCAAAAGAAGCATGGTCAGCAGGGTGAAGGAGGTGATCCCGTCCCTCTGCTGTGTGCTGGTGAGGCCTCACCTCTGGAGAACTATGTCCAGATGTTAGGTCCTCAGTACAGGAGAGATCTGGACCTGCTGAAGCATGTCCAAAGGAGAGCAACAAAAATGATCCAAGGGATGGAACACCTTCCTAATGAGGACAGACTGAGAGCTGGGGCTGTTCAGCTAGAGAGGAAAAGGCTTGAGGAGACTTCAGAGTAGCATTTCAGTATCTAAAGGGGATAAAAAAAAACAAAAACAGAATCTTTAGCAGGGTCTGCTGTGACAGGACAAGGGGAAACAGTACCAATTGAAAAAAGGGGAAATTCAGATTGGATATATGGAAAAATGTTATTAAGATTAGAGTTGTGAGGCACTGGAACAGGTTGTCCAGAACTCTGGTGGATGCTTCGTCCTTGGTGATGTTCAAGAGAATGCTGGTGGGGGCTCTGAGCAGCTGATCAAACTTTTAGTGTCCCTGTTCACTGCAGAGGAGTGGGACTAGATACTCCTGAAATCCCTTCCAAAATCAAATGATCTTATAAAATTTTCTTATTCAGTCAGTTTTCAGTAGAAGCATACAGTTTGTACCACAAAAACACTGTCACTTTCCACAGGCATGGCACTGTTATCAGAAGGTTCATATAAGGATGTTATACACTGTCCCTGAGAGGCTGCAGTAGATGGAGTATTGTGAACAGGCAACTTCGCATCCACTGCACAAGGGAAATCCTCTTGTGTGACAACATATATTTCCATCTATTATATATCAGGTATCTCTCTATCAGCTTTGTCTGTCAAGAAGCAACTCCGGAGCTTTTTAACATGTGATAACAGAAAATGAGAAAATGTCTACCTGATGAAAAATGTTCTCCAAATAATAGAGATATTAATATACTATGATCTGAGGCAGAGATCTGTGAGAAACTGGATGGGAGCAAGAACAGGGAAATAAGAGTCTTGAGAATGGATGGCACAGTCACTCATTTTATTTGGGAGAAATTATTTAAGGAAGTTTCTAAATGACTGATCTCAGAAAAGGGCTACTTTGGCTTCTTCTGCTACCTTACAAAAAAAAAAAAAAAAAAAAAAAAAAAAGCTGAGAGTGTTACACCCAGAAGAATAGCAGAGGAATTCAATCTTTTTGGTTACATCTTGATAGATGCTATCACAGCACACCACATCACACCTCTACTCAGATCACACCTGCCTGCCCCACTGATGACTGGGCCCCAGAAAAACAGACAAACAACATGTAACAGCTGCTGAACTAGTTCAAACAAGCCAACAGAACACTGCATCTATTAACTGGTTAGCTACTTTGTCAGGGAAAAATAAAAGCTTAAATTCACTGGAGAATTTATAAGGCCAAGCAGATAAAGTATTCTGTCTAACCATTACTTTGCCTTTGTTATATGTTGATGTCATCAAGATAAAAAAAATTATTTAAAAACACAGCACACTGCAGTTTATTCATCATGAAATTTACCTTTCCATTTTTTCCCTTGTGTTTTATATATTTTTATGAAACAGCATCTCCAGTGTTTCACATTAAAACAACTAAACATAATGAAAACAAAAAATGTATGAGATACATTATGGAAATCATGCCAGTTCTGCTATTCTTGTGACTTCCATCCTGTCTGCTTATTTGTATTTGGCTTTCATGCTAAATGGATAAACATTTCTGAAATGCTTGAATTTATCACAGGGGTGAAGCTTGATTTCCACACCAGTTTTAGCAAGGAAAGGCTGTTTAAAACATATTCATCCAAAAACTCTATAGCTACTTTATTAATAAATTAATAATTTAATAAATAAATAAATTTATTAATAACAATTAATACTAACCATAAAGGGTTTCTCACCTCCCAGAATTTGGATATCAAGATGAGCACTGACTGGCTAGAAACACTATGCAGTGTACTACTTGATACCTTATTACAAACAATATTTGCCTTAAAATTGCACCTACAAGTTCAAAATTACACCCTCATAAAGGCTTATAACCATCATCATTTCTGTTTTAAATGCTGACATTTATCACTTAAATTGATGTCATGACAAAAATAACATTCCTCTAATAAAAAGCATTACACTTTTTTTTTTTTAAATCATGGATCTCTTCTCACTCTCCCTTCATATTCATATAAGTAAATGTAACATTCATTACAATTACTGGCTACTATCTTAGCAAAAATAATCAATGGATGTCAAACTTAAAAAGCATTCTGCCCCACAAGAAGCAGCAATACAAAACTGTAAGCGTGAAAGCCCTCTCCCTTCTCTGCTGCCTTACACCAAAGCCATTAGTAAGTTACCTTTGAGGAAGAAACAATTCACAAATCTAGATCACCTCCACAAGAAGCAGAACACCCAGCATCTACCAACTCCACTACCAGCCACTAGCACACCTGCAGGGTTTTATACCAATCTTCTCTCTGCCCTTTTTAATGCAATTATATGCAGCTGGGCCAGGACATCTGACCCGAGACACTCCAACACAGAACACAACATAGGATGTACACTTTGAACTCTCACCTTCCTGATGTGATTCCAGAAACACACTAAATCATAGAATTGTGCCCTCAATGGAGGATAACCATGAGAACTTGAATATTTGCCCCAGCCAGGCTGGGACGCGCTACCCTATTGTAAAAATGGCAGTAGCTCTTCCGAAATCTTGGGCACGGACAGACACAGAGGGACTTAGCTTACCGAATCTGTAAAATCTCATTCCTCTGGGACATGCAGTTCCAATGACAAATGCTGTTCAGTTCTCCCAGCACACATTAGAAATACTTCCAGCAAAACACCATCAGAAAAAGAGTCATCATTTGCAAGCCAGTGTTTTATAGCATTCTCCCTTCTGAGAAAAGGCTGAGTGTGTACTGGAGCTGTGCAGCCCAGAGCGGGAAAGACTGAGGGGAAATCCCATCAATGTTTACAAATATATAATGAGTGGGAGTCAAGCGGATGGGACAGAGTGGTTTACAATGGTGTTCAGTGGCAGAACAAGGGGCAGTGGGCATGAAACTTCCCATCTCAACATAAGGAAGGACTTCACTGTGAGGGCAGCAGAGCTCTGGAACAGGCTGCCCATAGGGGTTGTGGCATCTTCTTCTCTGGAAACAGATATAATTTTCCTGTTCCACAGAACCTGCTTTAGAAGAAGATTGAAACGGATGATGTCAAGAGGTCCCTTCCAACATCTACAATTCTGTGATTCTGTAGTTCTTAATTTCAGGATGAGTCATTTGTCTTTCCCCATCCTATTTCTCTTATTGTATATTTTATAAGTCTTGCTGATGCAAAAATGAAAGTTCTTTTATTCTTCTCTAATCTTTAAATAAAATGTTCAGAGCTGTCTGATGAACAATAAGACAGAAAGCAGGCACAGTAATTCAAACAGTAATCTATGGGCATATATATCATCCTGCAATGGTACATTAATCACTATCTTTAAAAGACAGCACAGAAGTGATGAAGTTTTTTCAATTGTGTTTACTGCAACTCAGCTATATTCAAGTGTTTTTAATCTGTGCCATTACATCTGAAGGTAATAACTGTATTTTAATCTGGAAATCTTTCCTATCATCTTCCCAGATATGATTGGAAAGAATCATAAGCAAAGGAGAGGTGACTTTAGAATTCAGAAAGAATGCAAAAATACTGTCATGCACACTGATAAGTTATCTACAGAATATAATATTAACATTGCCTCTAAAAGAATAATTCATTCAAGCCACTGAAAATAAAACTCTCTACACAATAAAAAAAAGAAAAATAGAGCAGGAGAAAAAGACCTATTTTCCAGACAGCTTTAATCCTGCAACTGAATGGACTGTATTTAGTTCAGTATACTTGAATAAGAAAAGGTGAAAAGGTTGGAGAAAGAGGCAAGAGTTTAGCTGTTAAGAGGACATGTTCAAAACACACACACACACAACAGAATAGTAGCTGGGCTGATAAAGTACCCTTCATATCCAGAGATATCCAAAAATCCTTTCAAAGATCATAGTATTATATTAATGCAAGAAAATACAAAACATACCAGCCTTTCCATATTCATGACAACTTACATATTGCTTTGGAAGGAGGATTCATAATAAGAAAAAATGTCAGCCCTGACAAAAAGGTTTTCCCTAAAGCTCTTTGATAAGTTTACTTCCAAAAAGGGAAACTGTAGTAAGGCATTATTCATAGGCATCATGACTAACCAAAGTTATCACTGCATATTTGATGGATTTTTAAAATGTTTTATTTCTTGCTAATGTTCTTCTTCTCTTCTTCCCCTTCCTCACCTTCTCATCCTCTTTCTCCTTCAACTTCACTTTCAGCATCTTTGCCTTCTCCTCTGACCTAAGTGTTGCCTCTGCTGTTTCTCACTGTTTTACTTCCCTCCTCCTCTGCCTCTGTGGCATATTTTGCCGTTTCTTGAGTTCATTTTCATCAGTTTTGCTCATGGACCTCTGTCCTGAGCTGTGTCCATTGAAGCCATTGGTGGAGATGGCATGTGGCAGCTATGGGTCTTTTCCCACGGAGGTGACACCTACAGCCCCTGCATTGTAAACGCCCTGCCATTATCATTCAGTACAAACTTCTGTTCAGACCTTGGAAGACCTCTTTACCGTGCAGACTCTCTTTTAAACAGGGTAGGCAACTCTGGTTGGTTTGGAGAGTTTCACTTGCCTGCTTGATTTAAAAGATAGTAGCAAAAGGGAAGAGGTGAACGCACTCACTGAGAGTTCATAAACAAAAGGCAGAGAGGAAATCTCTCCTTTGCAGGTATGACTTGCCAAGGACCTCGCCATTACTCATGACACCTATCATCTTGCTATTATGTCCTTCATTTCCCTCTATTGATGGCTGTTGCCACCTCTTAGGCTTAATTCGTCTGCTCCTCACAAGTACAGTTGTAGGGTCCAGAAGCTGCTCTCTCATCTCAAATGTTTGTAGGTAATTCCACAGGTATTGGTTGCAAAAGATACATCCAAATGTAGTTCCTTTCTTATAAACCAGTATTTAGTACAATCAATCATGATAAAATGTCATCTCTGGGGAATGCGAAATTATTTCGATATCCTCTCATGATCATTTTGCAAGCATACGCAACAAATCGCTCATGGTTCTGTAATGCTTTTACCTTGTCACCCAAACTCTTGTCCCCTGTCGGGTGACAACAAACCTACTGCTATAAGTGACAATCAAGCCATTGCTCCTCGGCCTTTTGCTTCCAAAGAAAGCAACCACAATGGAAAGCAAAGCAAGGAAATTAGTTGAAAGAAGGGCATAACAAACATAGAAGAAGGGCTACTTTTCTTTTCTTCTTTTCTTTTCTTTTCTTTTCTTTTCTTTTCTTTTCTTTTCTTTTCTTTTCTTTTCT